TGCAAAAGAATGTCTGTAGCTGTGGCTGTAGCTGTATCTGTATCTATGGCCTGTGTGTCTGCGTCTGGTTCGAGGTCTCTGTGTCTACCAAAGGCGTAACTGCCACTGGAATATGTGTGTATATATATGTGGTATGCCTATGCTCTGCTGTGCTGTCTGAAGAGTGTTTTATTTTCCTCCAGCCTTTGCGCTTTTTATTTACAATATTTTTTCTTTTGCATGCATTTTCTTTCCACTGCATGCGGCGGGGCGGCAACATAGCGTTTTGTATGAATGAAAGTTGCACGAGTGTTTGAACGTGGCCTGCCTGCCAACGAATGAATGAATGAATGAGTGAGTGAATGCGAGTGGGTTGGTGGATAGGGCAGGGTCTGCTTGTGCCCCTACAAGAATGTGTTGCAAATGGCTCAACAAAACGCAGCATATTAAAACATTTGGTGCCCCCTCCTCACTCCTTCCTCTTGGAGGTATAATGCATTGAAATTGGTTTGGGTTTGCCTTTTCCTTTGCGTGTGGTGCTCGACATTTGCAATTCTTTGCATTACGCAAAAAGGAAATTAGACAAATGCCAGCGACAAATTGAAAAGCGTAAAAAAAATGGAATACAAATACACGCTGCTGCTCGGCTGCTCAGCGGAACAAAAACAAAAGGATAAATGGATGGAAGGAAGAATGGAAGCCTTTCCAATGCTGGGGAGGAAAGAAACAGAAAAAAAACCCAAAGGCTGGAGCCAGGAATGGAATACATTACAATAATAATGCCTGTGCTTAGTGCGCGTCTTGTGGGATTAACAGGTGGAGCAAAACGTATCGATTACGACAAAGAGGGAGCTTAAGCTGTGCTCCCAAGGGTTAGCACGAAGAGATAGAAGAAGAGACCGATAAGAAAGTGAGAGATTGTGTAGCCTTAATACTGCAGCATTGAAGGGGCAAAAGCCAAAGTCTTCCCTCACTTCCCTCTTTCTATTGCATTTCGAAGCAAACCCAAACCCCTTCCCAATATTATTTCATTGCCCACAACTTTGCCCTTTTGAGCTTTTTCCCTATCTTTAATCCAATATCGGCCGCCTCTCTCTTTCATTGTATGACTCACAATCGCTTACGTTTATCGGTATTTTACCATCATTTATGTAATCGATGGACCCGTCGATATATTTTACTTAGCCAAAAATAAAACAAAAAACTGAATTGGGAAATAAATAAGGCAACTTTTTCAAAGGTCAGCAAAGTGAAAGAAAGAGAGAGAAAAACAACAGCCAGACCTTCCATAAAAGGTTTGCACAAAAACTAATTGAACGAACAAGAGGCCAAACCAACTGGTCTGGTGGAACACTTAAAGCGGAAGCTAAGAAAACGGAATACAAAAATATCTCATTTTTCAATTGAAATTCGATCGACTAAAAAGTGCAGCCTCACTCGAAACGAACCGATCTATATTTAGGAGAAAACCCAAACCGTATAACACCTCTTGTACGAAATTAACCGGTGGGGTCAGTAGACCCCGGACCCCGAATCGAGTCTTTTCATAGAGAGACAATGAGAAGTCAACAAGCTGCTGCTGCTGCCGCTGCTGTCGTCGTCATCTTTTTATAGCCATTGGATTGGGTCTTGGCTCTTGGGTCTTGGGTCTTGGGGGTCTATCCATAACAATTAAAGACCTGCCTGACATTGATATTCCACTATGATTTTCTATGCATTTCTGTATGGATTGTGTTGTGTGTGTATGCCTCATAATTGTGTATTTTGTGGCAGTTATTATTTAAGCTTTGGGCACAGAGAAGTGGACTTTGTGGTTTGGATATTCCGTAGAAGACAAATAATAATACCGATCTCCGATACAAAATTGTATCTGTTTCTCGGTTTCAGCCTTGACTCTTTGAGCTGTCGGTTCGGATGTTGGTCTCTGTCTCTCTCTCTCTCTCTGGCTTTTGTTTGGTTATTGATTTTGAACAACAACAGCAAAAAAATGCGCAACAATGTGAAATAATTGATCACGTTCATGGTCCAATTTGGTTAGAGGGGGAAGGGGTGGTAGTGGTGAGCAGCGCGGCGGGGGGAGGGCCTGTTTTCAGGGTTGCCAAATGGCAACAATTTTGCGGGTAAATAAGTTTTCGAGAAGGCCTAAAGGGGAGGTCCAGAACTTTGACAGCAGCTTTTTGTTCGTGTGTGTGTTTTTCGCTCTCTCTCTCTCTCACTCTTTTGTGTTTCTTTCTGTTTGGTATGTTGTTTGTGTGTGTGTTTGCCTCAGCAATTAAGAGAGCTTAAAAGGAGCAACATGCATCAGCAGCAGCAGCATCTGGAGCCTCATCAATGTCTGAAACTTCATCCATGGCCCTGGGCCATACATACACATGTGTGCAAGGAAGTGGGTGGCATGTCATACTCACTCCCTCACTCTCTTTGTAGTGGGGGGGGACAGCTTCCGCCTATATGCTTCATAAACTACTACTGCTGCTGTTGCTGCTGCTTGGCCATCTTGCATTTGGCCTATAAACCGAAAGTAAGACAAACAACTGACATTGCAGCAACCAAACACTCCATGCAACAGAATGATGCACATATGAAAAGTTGTAACCGCTCTTCCTCTCTCCTACTCGCTCCCGCTCCCCCCTATCACTATCTCTCTCTTTCTTTGGCAGGCGTTGAATGTGAAAAAAAAAATTATTTGACCTACATCAAGTTTTCAAGTTGCTTATTTTGTCGTCTCTTCTTTTCTGCTGCTTGGCTCCTCTTCTTCTTGGTCTTCTCATGCTTGTTGTTGTTGCTTCTTTCTTCTTTTTTTAGTCGAAGCTTCTTCGCCATCAATGTTCATCATCATCTTTATCACCGTCATCATCATCATCATCAGATGCTTCGCTTCATTTTTCTGCCTTTTTTCTTCTTTTTTTTTTCTTTTTAAACCACAACATTTGCGGATACTCTTTGGTCAACTGCTGCAGTGTCTCCACACTCCTCTCTCTCTCCCTCTTTCTCTCTCTTTGCAGTCTCTATAACCATCTGTCTCTGTCTGTCCAGAGTTGTGTCTTTCCTCTCCGTGTCTGGATTGTTTTCAATTTTGTACAGCATTTTCATTAATTTTTCAACCTCCGATCCACCTACCTATCAACTGTCTGTGTGTCAGTGTGTCGATACATCTCGCCTTGCCCCACAGCGCCCACGCATCTAAAATATTGAAAGACTTTTGGACAGACGATGACCAGGCAAGGCGAGGCGTGTGGGTCTACGTCACAATTGACTAACTATTGCTACCCCTGTCTTGGTCTCTTTCTATCTCTGTCTCTCTATCTAAGTCACGCACTACTCCCCACTCCCCACTCCCACGTGCACAGCACACACACTTCCGATTAAAAAAATTTTTTGGTTTTACATTTTGTGGGCCTTTTTTTTTTTTTTTTTTGTCCGGTTTGCCGCGTGGTGGAAATTGCTACGAACAGAGACTCAGAGACTGGCAGAGGGAGGGGCGGCTGTCAGGGCTACTGAAAATGTTGTCACAATGAATTTGATATTTGTTACAGGGGGCAAACATTTTTTAAATGCTCAAATTGAAACTGTGGATAACGTGGGATACTGTCAGGGGTTTAATGTTTCTTCTCGCTTATTCTTTGTTGTAGATCTTTGTGTTATAGTATTACCAACTTTAAATGAGATTAAAGTATTTTTCTGTGCGCCTTTCGTTAGTTCTTTGAACCATTTTAGAGAATTTAGCAAAGAAACCAATTGAATTGTGGCAGAAAACGGAATAAATATTTTTCTTGCTCTTCAGTCATCGATTAAAATATGATCTGAGAGTAGTATCAAATCAAGCCGTAGCTTTATTTTATACAAATATATAGCTAGGGCGTGCAATCGTTATGCTTAAGTTTCAAATTAAATTTCCCTTTTCTTTGTGGCATTTACGAGCAAATATACCACAGTTTACAGTTACTTAAGTGTTTGGAGGGGCAGCAAACAGTTTCAGCTTTTAAAGTGTTTTGCCCAGCAGCATTTTCTTGGGTGGAATTTATTGTATATAGCCCGGAGACAAACGTGCAGCCACACTCTGCCACTGCCACATAGATCGCTGGCTCTTGGGTTTGGGTTTTGGGTTTGGGTGTGGGTGTATCGTATAACCAGAGAGTGCAAACCGGGGGAATGCGCTCCACTGCACACAGAGGTCCAAACAGTTTTAGCCATGTTCCGATGCAAATGGCTTGCGAAAGGCCCGAAGAGAGGGAGACAGCCAAGACAGCCAAGAGGGAAGAGAGAGGAGGCGGGGGCTTTGCCTCATGCAAATGAGCGCAAAATTAAATAATTAAACCAACGCCAGGGCAAGCAAAACGACCAGCAGACACAGAGAACAGGCATGACTCGTAGCCACTGCCACTGCAGCGCTGTGGTTTTTTTTTTTTTTTTGTTGCTGCTGTTTTGTTGCTGTTGCACAAACCCGAAACTGGCACAGCAACTTTTTCTTTGAGCCCGAGATCGGACTCGGACTCTGAGTCCGAGTCTGAGAGTCCGAGTCCGGACTTGTAACCGTTTCTTTCATATGTGGAGCGTTAATGAATTGCCATAGCCAATAGCTCTGTAACTGTAGCAGAAGTTGGAGCTTGGATTGGATGCAGTGGGGCATGTGGTGTAAGTGGCCACATTAGGGTGCCGTGCCGGTGTTACCCGCTTACCGGATGGGAACGGAATTGGAGAGACTTGCTTGCTAGGCAATTAAAAGCGGCCAATTGTCGCCTAAGTTGGCCAATGTCCCACCACAACACCACAAGCAGGCGACGAGAAAAGTCTTGCAAAATACTACAGAGAGACTACATACAACGATTGCAAATCATTAATACATATATTAACATTTAATGCTGACTGTTCCACTTGGGTGTCATTCAACCACGTGAGTGGTTCGCTCGCATGACTCACTCACCCACCACCCCACAGAAAAAAAGACAGACTTACTTTTCGCACTTGAGTGCTAAAAAAACTTCAATCTATAAACAATTTCTCTCTTTTTTTGCCTTTTCAGGTTAGTGGGCTACAACACATTTCGCTTTGGCAGCACACAAACTTTGACTTAGGTTCACGTTGAAAGGTAATTGTTTATAATTGGAATTATACAGCGAGCGAGCGAGCGAGCGAGCGATTTACTGTGAAATTTAGTTCGAGTTTTCAGTTTAAGAGACAAGCAAATTACCAACAGAATCAGCTTAAGCCACAACAACAACAACAACAACGAGACGAATGCTGTGCTAGTTTTTATGGGCTAAAGAAAAAAAGTGCCGGAAATAATTGTCTTAAGTAGTTTGAACTTTGCGCATAAAACAAGCTACAGAGTGGATGCCACCAGAGAGGGCGGGAAGTGAGGAGAGGGCGAAGCTTGAGAGACCGACCGACCGGCTAACAACTAAATGAGAGTCGCTTTCAATGTTCTTCTGTGCACAACTCGAGCAGTCCAGCACCACCACCTACCTCATTGCTCTAGGCTATAGATTGCGAGGTCAAACTAAAGAACTAAAACACATTTAACGCTTTTTGAAATGGTGCTACGAGTATTCCCACGTATAGGCCCACGTTTCAGGCCTCAAAAATGTTCGAGCTAATGAGTTATTTCTGTGGAATGTTGAAGTTTTCAAAGACCATTCCCATGTGAATTATGGCTGGGAATAAGACTTAAACAAGATCTAATGCCAAGATGTTTTAGTGATAATATATATAGATTAGGGATGCTTGTCACAAAAACTTCCTGAAATCCTCTATCCTTATGTATACAATTTTAACCAAAAATGTACCCACTTTTAGCATTTTTTTAGGTAGCCTTAGGCAGTGTTATTAGCTTAAATTAAAGAGCTCAACAATTGAATTTTAATCAAAGTATCACCCAACCCAGCTTCCTTTCTCTTAAAGATGCAACAGCACGGGGGGCAGTGCCTTCCCTATCAGAGTTATCTCTCTTTCTGATCTTTTTTTTGGGGGAAATACTCGCATTATGATAATTAGAAATGAAAGTAAAAATTGTGTTGTGTCTTTGTGCGTGGGGCCATGACCAGGCACAAAGCACATGCTCCACCATCTGCACAGGCCACTCCATGGATTGGCCATGATTGAGCAAAAATAAAACAGCAATCAAACAAAAATGTTAAAAATATAAATAAACAAATCAGACACAGAGACAGAGAGGGGGGCAATATTTTAAGAGCATTTCGAGAGCGTTCTTGAAATTTCAATTCAGTGAATTGTCGATTTTGCACAGTAGCCCCAGATACAGATACAGATAGATACATATGTACATATCTGTGTGTATGCAAAAATTTACTTATGTTCAAAGTCATAATCGATGACTCCCCTGAAAAGTGCGCAGAGCAGACCAACTTCGGGCTTCACTCACTTTCTAAAAATGATTTCAGTTCAATAACAATTTTTTCGGCTCTTGACAGATGGAAAATATTTTCGGTTTTTTGATAAATGATGTTGTGGCCCAGCATATGAAAAGTCAACCATACGAACTTAAATACCCTGTGTTTAAAGAATATAGAGAGGGTATTATAAATACGTGTAACAGACAGAAATTCCGAATTTCTGTGCCATCCACAGCTAATGCAGAACTATAGATAGTGATTATAGCAGAAATTAACTACAATTGGATAATTTTTATAGATAGAATTATCAAAACACTCGTCGAACGCTCCTTCGACAGAAACAAGCTATTATGTGGCATACCTTCGATAAATTTTTCGATCTATTTAAAGTGAGTGCTGGGTATTTTAGTGTCGACTCCAAATGTTTCCACTAGTTTGATATATTTTACATTGAAGACTGAACCCAGAGGGGGGCATCGCTGCTGCTCTATCAAAATTGATTGCCCACAATTAAAAGTTAAATATTGAAAATTAAAAAGCGAATGTCAAAAGCTGGAAAAAAACTATGGCCATACAAATTTATGCATATTTTTTTTCGAATATATATCATACTTTTTTATTGTAATAACTCGTTAATTTATTTGTAGCAATTATTAATGCAAACATGGACACAAAGAAAAAAACCAAGTAAAAATATTTATATGTATGTACATACTCGTATATATTTCGTATTTTTCATATACAATATAGAAAGCGACAATTTCATTTATTGTTTGCCGAATCTTTTTGAGACTGCTTCTGGCTTTTGCGCTTATATTTTGCATAAATCATATCCTGAACGCATTTTTTGTCGTCGAACACTATTATAATTACATTTTAATTTATGCAAATATGTGTATGAAAAATTAGCAGTAGCTACATACGTTGTTTTCCCCTATTTTCCCTCTTTTTTTGTTTGTTTGTACTTTGTGTGCCTTTTTTGTGTGAATATTTGCTTTAAATAATGACAAAGTACAAATAAAAACAAGTAAAAATAAAGCCTAACAATTTTAAAAACGTTTAGGCTTAAAAAGTTGCTAGTCAAAAAATGAAAAACGAATTGAAAAATTAATAACAAATATGGCAGGGACTAAGATAAAGGCTATTGGACAGAATGAGAGATGAATATAACGGGAAATTTTTTTTATAAATTTATAGAAATATGTGGCATTATGTTGTGACATTACACTAAGACCTCTACAAATAAAAAACATATTCCAATAGACGGGAATGCAGGATAAGTGTACTGTTTCTAGAAAAAAGGGATATTTAGGTGGATCTGTGTAATGAAAAATGTGATATAATTTTATGGAATATTCTTCCACAAAGAATCACGCCCAAAACTGAAATTGAAGAATCAAAGTAGCATGCAAAATTATCATAAAAGGTACATACTACCTCTAAAAGCAACTATAATATTATTTTTGTGCAATAAGAACTTTCCCTGGAAATCAATTGGTGTTAAATGCCACAAGCGAAAGCTCTGCTCAATCTCCTGTCGCATATGTTTGCAGAATAACGGAGGATAATAATAAAGAGACCCCACAAGCAGCAAATCCATGAAAAGGTGAAAACGTGGAAGGGCCTTCAAACCACTTGAGCCGAGCATTATTCCACTCAAGCGGCTGTCAGAGGAAGAGCAAGAGTGGGCCAACAGATTTCAGACACACACAGCAGGCAGCAGCATCAGCAGCAGCAGCATGTTGAGGCAATTGTTAAAATTCAATTTGAGGCTTCTTCCTGTTACACGTCAAAATGTGCAGAACATTTTTTTTGGCCAACAAGCTGCCAAGTGACCTTGTGGTGTGCTCAACCAGATACAGAGATACACAGACACAGATACAGATACATGAACAGGGGAAGACGAATGCGAATGCACGTATATCACAAGCGCTTATCGGAGCGGGACCATCAGAGTTGTGTGGCCGTAAAAAACGTTTTGCACTTCCGTTTGCTGTATCTCTGCTGTCAAAAAGTGCCAAAGTTCCCAACAAATTCGTATCCCAAACAGCAAACAAAGCTATCAAATGACGGCCAACACCTGCCAAACGACTCGAATTACGATTTTTGATATCATATTTCATAATCGATGCTATATACATGTATATATATACATATCCATCCGTTCGACTGTCTCAATCTGTATGGCATAAATACTCGGTACTCGGTACTCGGTATTCTGTCATTTTTGCGCACAATTAACGATGATTTTCAATAGCAACCACAGGAATCAGAGCAGGAGGCAAAGAGAGAAAAATACTCGTACATTCTGTGTCTGTCTGCCTGTCAATATGGATTTATGTTTGCCCGTCACTGTGCTCCTTCTCTCTCTCTCTCTCTTTTCCGCACTAATTGTCGTTAATGATGAAATTACGGGATGCCAGATATCCGACAATGGGATCAATAAAGTGCCAAATAGAGCGGACAAACAAAAAAGTTACGATAGATATAACCGAGTAAGAGAGACCCTGCAATCGACTTGTCAATCAAAAATATGATCAATGAGCCTCCATTTGAGCGAGTTTACTGTGTGGTGTTGTTTCGAGTGGGCGTTGGATTGGAGTGTTGTATTTTGTGTGTGGCAAGGCTATGTGTGACGCCTATAATAGAGTTTTGTAATGCAAATCACTTTCAGTTTTTCAATTCCCTCTCGAAATAGTTGAGGCCTCGAAATGGTGCGTAAGAGAGAGAGAGAGAGAAACAGCAAGAGAACTGAATCAATATTGTGTGTTTGTAAAGCCAGGAAATAAGGTTAATGTAATTATAAGCGCATAAGCAATCAGTGGATTAGTCACTCAGTCGCCTCAGTGAAAATAGTGGGCGGAATGAAAGAGAAGGCAAAATAGAGTTGGTTGTTATCTTACATTTACAGCCGGAACTCAATTATGCATGCAGTTGAATTCGATTCCCCTCTCTTTACATTCGATCAACTGTTTGTGTGGATGTTCCTTTCTCACGCTCTCTTCTAGTAGATTAACCATACGCATGCACTCTCTTTTTTTTATTTTTGAGTCCACCCACATATCATCCTAGAACTCTCTCCTTCCCACGCACTCTCTTTTCTTCCTTCAACTACTCCTACCAATAGATATCTCTTTCCTACGCACTCTCTTCCCCCTGCACTAGCTTTCAGTGGGAGAAACATGCCTAGCGGAATTTTGAGAGCAAGAAACGGCTACATAACCTCTCGTGTACTCCTTCTCTGTCTGTTCAAAGATTCAGAGTCGTGTCGTTATTTTTCGCATTTCTGATACAGCTCGAATCGGTTTGAACCAGTTCTGAGTCATCCGACCGGCTTTTGGCAAATATTTTTTTATGGCTAGGCTGCACGCGTCGCTCAATTTAATTGCTGTTGACTAAAAAAAAAGAATGCAAAAAATTTAAATTTTTTTATAAAATTTACATTGCTCCCTTCCCAACACTTCCCGCTCCACTCTCGCCCCGTGTGCGTGTCTCTCTGTTTGCATTTGTTGTTTTCGCTTTCAGCTTTGTTTCGCTTAATGTGTTCTGGCGTTGTTGTTGGTTAAGATTTATTTAAATGCATTAAACTTTAGAGGTCAACTTCCTTTCACTGGCGACGACGAACGACAGCGACAGCGACACCGATACCGACGACGACGTGGCGTTGGCAGAGCAGAGCGAGCACGAGATAACGGCCTCCGTCTCGTCTCCAGTCTCCGTTTGCATCTCCTCCTTC